ATGTGTGGTGATTAGTGACCGTTAGTCTATGATTATTTGGAAATCGTGAGATGCGATCTGGTGTGACGTAGGTTTCAGAAAAACATTTTCTTTATCGTGTCAACATTTCGATCTTTATTGAGATCTTCTTCAGGGCCTGGGATTTACAAACATTGTTTACCTTTAACAAATACATGTAGGATGTGGAAAAAAGTGAATTTATACAATGCAAAATATTTTTTTATATTCAATCAAAGTATTTCTACTCACTCAAAGTGTTTGTCTTCTGTGTAATTGTGCCATTCTTTTGTGGCGTGTTGAGAGTGCCAGTGAGATATTGCTGTTTTTGTTTGTATACGTTGGATTTTGAAGGGGTGGGGAAAGAAGTCGGTATAGAAAGACATTTTTGTATAAGGAGTCGGCTTCTTTGAGGTGAAAAGAGCCGACGAAGGGAAAAAATGTTGGTAATGGTTCGGCCAGATTATCCTTTCAGGGTTATATAGACGGGGATAAATTTGAAAAGGAAAGCTAAATTGTTGAAAAAATTAGACTATGTAAAAATATTTGATGTGTGGAATGTGATGAATGTTTTATATGTTGTAATATATATTTTGTGTGATGTGATGATATATGTATGTTATCTATATTGATTTTGATTTGTTCTGTAATTGATGCTGTGTTTATCTCCGTCGATATAAACCATTTCTAAAAAGTTAGGTTTATGTTTGTTTCGTTCTGTGTTTAATAATGTTTGAATAGTTGAAATCGAACCTGTGTTTCTGTTCAAAATGGTGGGTAGCCAGTGCTGTAGGATTATGCTCGGGTTTTTTGCAATCATAGATATGTTGCTTTACTCTCTTGTCCAGATATTGGGATGCAAGACCGATGTAAGTTGCCGGACAATTTAAACAATTGATTTTGTAGATTACGTCAGATTTATTTGTTATTGGTGTGGGATCTTTAATTTTGGAAAAAAGTGTGTGAATTGTTTTATAGTTTTTTTAAAGCTGTTTTAAAGTTATCGGAAGAGAGAAATGTGTTTAATTTATGTGATAGGCCGTGAATGAATGGCATGGAAATGTATGTTGGTTTGTTTATATTTGATAGATTTGATGTAGTATTATAGTAATAGTGGATGGGGTTAGTGTTGAGTTGTAGTTGTTGATTATTCTGTTAATTATGTGTTTAGGGTAGAGATTGTTATGGAGGATCTGTTTGTATATCTTTTTGTTCTTGTGGTGAAATGATTCATAGCTTAGGGTAATAATTCTGAGAGGTACCCTTTGGCCTTGTTTATTATTGTATGAAGAGGATGGTGAGATGTAAAGTTGAGGTAGCGATCTGTGTTTCTTGGTTTTATGATACCAATCTGTGATTAATGTGCCATCTGGTTGTTTTATTACGAGTGTATCTAAAAACGGTATTGTTTTGTTGTTTTTTATTTAATGTGTAAATTGTATGCGTGGGTGAAAGCTATTATAAATATTATGTATAAGCTATACATAAAACAGCAATATCACAACACGACACACAAGAATGGCACAATTACGCAGAAAACAAACACTTTGAGTGAGTAGAAATACATTGATTGAATATAAAAAATATTTCTTTTGTATTGTATAAATTCACTTTTTTCCACACCGTACATGTATTTGTTAAATTTAAACAATGTTTGTAAATCCCAGGCCCTGAAGATGATCTCAATAAAGATTGAAGCGTTAGCATGATAAAGAAAATGTTTTTCTGAAACTTACGTCACATCAGACCGCATCTCACGATTTCCAAATAATCTTAAACAAAAAAGTTTGAAAAATTAATCTCTGATTCATACGATGTAACATTAAGCTGTTGGGCAATTAAACATATTGTTAAAAAAAAATGGGAGGAAGCCATTTCAGCAGTTCTTGTTGTGTTGCCAGCTCACTATCACTCCAAAGAAGGAACAAGAGGAACAGGCGAGCACAGTCAGTTCCAACGTAAGGACTGAGAACATCGCCACCATCCTCTCTATGTATTCCATTATTGGTGTTCATGCAACTCTGTTCAGTTTATAGAAGTCCAGCATAAGTGTTTTTGTAATAACCTGGTATTTAGCTGGATGAAAATTGTATATATTTATTGTAAAATTATGATACTGCATTATTCCAGGTTATGACAAATGCACTAGATATGCTAATATCCAGTGTTTAAATGTTGAATGTAGTATACATTGTATGTTTTGTTAGTGTGCGTTTAGGACCTAAATACAGTATTGTTTACATAATTATTTGAGGACATTAAACATCCAAAAGATATATCAACTCAATTAAAATCACATATTACAACTCAATATTCACAAATATTCTTTTTTTAATTACACTAAAATTAAAGTACATAAAACACTTAAAAAGTCTAATGATGTTTTAGCAATATTTTTTGTTTGAATTTTTAAATTATTTATGAACAAGTCGTAGTTGATTCATAATCTTAGAACTACATCACAGTGCAATTACATAAAGTAACACATCTTAAAATCCACTACAAAATGGGCCTTTTATTAAACAGTAGTTCTAGTAAAAGAAGAAACATTGTAGAAAAACCTTGCCCCTGCATATAGAGGTCAAGCTAAAGGGATCTTTGAATAGAAATCTTGCATGCACAAAACAAACAAAAAAATTGTTAACTATTTTGATGAAACATATGAAAAAGTGGACTTTAGACATATAAATTATATTAAAAAATTTAATCTTTTTATATTTATTTATCTATTATACATTTATTTATTTTTATTTATACTTTATACATTTTTACAATGAAAAGTTTAAAGATAAATATTTTTCCATTAATTATGAAAATCAATTAATTTATGTTTTCTGCCTGCTTCATTTGACCTTCCTGTACTCGTGAGTATTCCACTTCTACAATATTTTAAATATGGAATCCATGACTGTAATAGTTAGTTATTTCGAGTGCTTAAATAAACTGATATGAGTAAAATCATTTAAATAAATGACAAAAAATTAGAGTATCGCTGGATCCCTGATAGATTTGACTCGTTGATGAAGAGGCAAAAGTAAACCCATTTTCAAACATTTTATTTTATTTTAATTTGTAATTTAACACTTTAATAAAACCTGAGGTGTTTCAGAGAACTGTAATTTGTTCCCATACTCTATATGTGACAAAACACGAGAATTTTTATGAAGAAGAGCTAATTTGTGTTAAATATCATTTTTTATGAGACCAGTGGTATTTAAGAAATATAACAATTATTCATTTGTTATTTCACTCAAATTAAAATTCTAAATAGATATTTTGCGTGATTTGATATTATATGGAATATTTTTCTTCCGTACTCTTTATTTGTAAATGAGTAACATGTANTCAGAAACAGAATTAATTGTTTTTTGAAGTTAGATGTATTAGCTAAAACTTACAAATTGAAACAATTGTGACAAAGGAAATTGCTGCAAATCTTTTTAAATTGTTTAGCTTATTTACAACAAGAGGAACAACGAAGTGTCACCTTTCACAGTGTAGGTATTAACCTACCTCTCAAAGAAACCATTTAGATCAGCGCATTTTAGGTATGTCTGTTCATATATTAATATTATGAAAGCAAGAGTCCCAAAACCCTTCAGATTCATTCATATGTGATGAATATCTCTAGTTAAAGCTTTTGCGATAAATTTGAGCAGTTCTTTGAAACAACTCAGGCAAAATTACTTTTGTTCAAACAAAACTTACTGAGTAATCACAAACAAAAACAAAACAGGCACCATTTAAAAGCTAATATATTTACTTTCAGTTCCTAAAGGATGTTTTGTTCATTCTTTTGATAGATTTTCAAATGGTGTTTAATTTTTGTGGATCAGTGTATTATTGATAACACTAATTAAATGAGATCATTTTCAGAATAGTTGATGCTGTTATGAATAAAATGGTTGTTTACACAGTGCAAAACTTTGGTGGTGCTTGATTTAGTCAGTGGTTTCGCAGAAATTATCGTTGTTGGCATGTTCAGTGTTAGGAGGTAATTTTGTGCTAGAGGATGAGGTGGCTGCATGTTCGGAATATGCATTTATTTTACTGTTGTACAAGTATTAGATTTAGTTTTCTGTAGCAATATACATAAATAATGCATTCGTCATGACACAACACATATCCAATTTGAAACTTCTTGAACTTAAAAAAGAAATGTGTAACCAGCCCTGATATCACAAGTGCAATTAAATTTGGTTATATACATTTATATTAGAAGCAATTTCATCAAAAGTTGTCTAGTAAGCATTTTTGTTTTATAGAATTTTATTGACGTGAGTGAAAATCACTATTATGATTGCATAGAAGATAGAATTTTATAATATTTCAAAGAGTTCAGTTTACTCCCGCAAAAATTTATATTATGATTCAGTAGACAACTCGGACGTTCATAAAGACTCCAGTTTTGTATTTTGGCTGTTCAGTTCTTGATTAATAATGCTTTGTGGGCTTAACTGAGCAGACAGTAAATAAACTGGTGCCATAAAGTAATTTTGTATTTACCACTGAGACAAATAATATAAACAACAAAAGCCAACTAAATAAAAAATACCACATTATTTTCTTTTTTTTCTTTCTTTCTTTTTTTATAAAGCCTTGCAGACTTGTATTTTTTTCTGACGGCTATCAACCATAACGGTTATTTAAGCCCTAATAATAGACTTGTATTTTATTTTTTTTATTTTTTTTAGGCATCTTTTATCCTTTTTTTATATTTTTTAATATGTTTATTTTATCCTTAGCTGAATAAATTGTAACAATTACTGTTCCCTGGCCAGGATGGATAAATACTAATAAAATAATCATGGACCCTTATTCACAACAGCTTCACAATCTCTAATCTTTCTCTTCTTTCTTTATCCTGCTCAATCTTCTTTTCCTTACCGGGCTATCTATCTCTCAGTGCATCTTTCATTCTGTTCGCAATTTCTTACCATCCTCTTACCCATCTTTTTTTCTAACACCTTGTGGTATTTTTTCCTCGCTTCTTGTTTTTCTAGATCTTGCAGAATCTTCAAAAAAAGCGGACAGAACGGAGAGGCCGCCTCAGCTCTGACCCACAGAAAGAGTCAAAGTTCAGCAAAAGCACTCTCATTTTTAAGGTAACCCCCGCCTTGGTAGGAAACTTCTGCAGTCCTGCCCCGTTACTTGCATGCCTCTTCTTTCTGGCCAGGCCTATAACCGCTGCTCGCTTCTTCAGTGCATGTTCAATGGCTTTAACCCTGGGTGTGTAAATATTAATACCAAGTATTACAAAAATAAAAAATAAAAATAAGTAAAAGAAGGAATTATTCATGACCAGACATAAAATAATAGTACTAATTTTTCAAAGTCTAGATTTTTCAACCATTAGTAACCCACGTATTTTGTTACCACTGATCAATGATGTCCTTCCTGTTACCTTAGAATCCACTAATCATGACTGACTTGACGCAAGACACATTGTCACAACAAACTTGGGCACAAGGTTTATCATGTATACCTACAGTTTGGCACCTGAAAAATGATGTACATGCAAGTGCACACAAAACATATAAGATGCTTTTGAACAAAATATGCCAGTGAACGATCATGACCGTAACAGTTGAAAGTGTGATCACTCACTTATTATTTAACAATGTCTGCCATGAATCTAAAATTAATCTTCAAAATTAAATGTTGTTGCTTTGTAACAAATAATATACCATTTCTTTTTTAAGGCAACAGATCCCGAAACAAAATTTTCATATGCAGCCACACACTATTAGTATAATTATAAGCTTTAATTACTTGAAGAAAGGTAACATTTGTAAATATTGTTTTAGCTGTATTTGCCTTAATATCTAACATAACTTACAATTTTTTTTAACAATATTGTATTGCTTTATATGCTTTTGTTGATGTTTTATTTATAGGGCTTGCTTGCTTAATAAACATGTTAATTATCATGTAGTGATAAATAACATATAGAAAAGTATGTGAAAACTTATGGTTTTTTTTAAGTTCATAAATAAATATGTATATGTGTATATTCATTCATTCTGTATACATTTATTTGCTGGTACATATATGTATTTATTTATTTAAAATGTTATTAACAAAAAAATATATATACATATATATTTCAATTGAAATATAATACTAATTTCAAATTTATATTTGCTTTTGTCACTGAGTTTTTGCTTTTAACAGTTTATTTATTTAAAAATAATCTTTTTGCTTAATATATTTATTTTATCAACATCATGTGTTTTTATTAGTTAAAAAGTATTTGCATGGTGCGCTTACTTTTTCTAGAAAATACACATAGTATCTTTATTGAAGATAATGTGAATATTTATAATCAACTAACATGATAAAATGTTAAAATTGTATATGATGCAATAATAATGCTTGAACAAATTTAATAATTTATATTATATATTTCTGAAATTATGAATGTATGGAAATGTAAGATCAAACATAAAGCATACGTACTAACATTATACTGGTATCGAAGCTGATGAACTGCAGGCAGCATGGCCATGTTTAAAACTGTATTAAGGCTACTGGCCTTATCCCAGTCTCTGAGGGGCAGGCAAGAACCAAGGATAAGTGGGGTAAAAAAAGGTGTTTCTTTCCAGATGGTTACTTATTATAAATCAAAAATTATTTCTACAAAAAAAATTTATTTGTCACATAATTTAAATGTTTATATAGGCCGCATAAATATCTTATGTTTCAGTTTCTCAATATGGCAAGTGTCTTTATGAGGATCTTCAACTTAATTTGTATGATGCTTCTCATTGGTCATTGGTCGGGCTGTCTGCAATTTTTGGTTCCTATGCTCCAAGGATTTCCATCGAATTCTTGGGTTGCAATCAATGAGCTCCAGGTGAAAATAATTCTTTTGGTCATCCAATGTTTGTTGTACAAATTAAATTAATTTGATTTTTCAAAATATAGGAAGCATTTTGGTTAGAGCAGTATTCCTGGGCTCTTTTTAAAGCCATGTCTCACATGCTCTGCATCGGATATGGAAGGTTTCCTCCTCAATCTTTAACTGATATGTGGCTAACCATGCTTTCAATGATCAGCGGTGCAACATGCTATGCACTATTTTTAGGACATGCCACTAATTTAATTCAAAGTTTGGATTCATCGAGAAGACAATACAGAGAAAGGGTATTATTCCATACATTCATTTTATATTAGATCTGGATTGTTGTAAAATCAGTCCTTAGCGTTTTTTTTATAATAAATTTAATCAAAATGTCACATTTTGTCATCAAATTTAATAATTTTGTTCCACTATCTGTTGCCATCTCAACTTACATACATACATTCTTCATATATATTAAAAATTGCATAATGTATTGTAAAAATAGTATATTGTAGTATAGTGTATAAAATTGTATAATAATATGTGAAGCTATGTTTAGTTTAAAAATTATTTACCTTTTAGGTGAAACAAGTAGAAGAGTATATGGCTTACAGAAAGTTGCCCAGGGAAATGAGGCAAAGAATAACAGAATATTTTGAACATAGATATCAAGGGAAATTTTTTGATGAAGAAGCAATTCTAGGAGAACTTTCTGAAAAACTTCGTGAGGTAAAGTAAAGTATTTATATTAAGTATATAAAGAAATAAATTTATGTACAAGCTTCTGGTGCATAGTGAAGATTTTTGTTATAAATTTCTCTCCATTGAATTTCGTATGAACATATTCAAAACCCTTACATTTTTTTTTCATCAAAAAATCTGGTTTGTATCCATTCTCTGGTATGTAATAAACTATACATCAGATTAATAAAATGAAAACCATTCCAAATGTTACATTGAATATATCATGCTGTGCATAAATCATGCATTAGTTTCTTTAAATTTTTTTCAAATGTTTCTGTTTTGGTACAAAATTATTTAAGTACTAGAAAATACTGTGATAATGAAAGAGTAAAACACAGTAATTAATAGATTTTTTAAATTTAAATATGTTGTTTGAATTAAATTGGTTTTATGTTGTCTGATTTTCAGGATGTAATAAACTACAACTGTCGTTCTTTAGTGGCTTCTGTTCCATTTTTTGCTAATGCAGATGGGAATTTTGTATCTGATGTTGTTACAAAACTTCGTTACGAAGTCTTCCAGCCAGGTAAAAATATCACAAGTTCATTTTAATAAATTGTTAAGTTTTTGAGTTTATTAGGTACAATTCTTTATAAACTTAAACATTTCCTACCACCACTTATAAAGTAATCCTGCAATCCTTGAAAAAACTGAGGTGAGGCAACAAATACTCACAGACTTATACAAGCCTGCATACAGTAGGGGAGTATTATTAGACCCATCCTGTCATTTATACTGCTGACTTTCTTGTACATAAAAACTTATTACTTTGTCTTGGATTAAAAAACATGCAACACCAGGAACATGTTTAAAATTAAATTAAATCAAAACATATTACATTATTTATGCATTTATCTCCATGTTTAATGTTACAATCTCCGAATAATCGTTTAATTTTACATTTTTTATTTCAAATTTCTTAAACCAAATCTACTTCCCTCCCTTTATTGAAACTGTGAAACACTGTTGTATTTAAATTGGGTGTGTGTGTGTTTTTTAAAAAGTTTAAATGGTCCTTAAATTCAGAAAATTTGTTTAAGTTTTTTGGTGGGTTGGTGGGGGGTTGAATACAATTTTTTCTCCACTGCAACCTAAACAAGTCTATTGTGGAACCCCTATGTCTTATAGCCTTACCTTGGAAAGTGTGCTTTTTTCCTTATAAAACAGAGCAATTTCCTTGGTGCCTCTTCACGGAACTCTTTGGGTATGAGAAATGTCCTACCAAAGTGGCTGTACCATAAACGGGCAAATGCCGCATTCGCAAAAAATATGTGCCGATGTCTCTGGCTCTTCCTGACAGAGCCAGCATGTTTCCTTCTCAGCCTTGCCCATTTTTCTTAAGGTGATAGTTAAGAGGGCAGTGGCAGATATAAAGGCCTTTAATCCTTCTCAAATCCTGCCTGCTGAAAGAGAGGAATTCTTTCGTTTTCCGTTTTGAGATGTTGATAAATCTCTTAGCTTGTCTCATACCTAGAGTGTTTATCCAATGTTTGAGTTTTTATTTCTCATTCCATTTTGTGGTGGCTACTCCTTAGATCTGGTTTTCTTTCTTTATATCTAAGGAGTCTGTTGACACTCTCAAAAGCCACCTTTTGTACATAAACATGTAATGTTGGGAGGATGAGTGCAGTCTCCATTACTTTAGTGGGCAGGTATGCATTGCCCGTCTAGTATTGAGACACGCTAGTCCTTGTAGACTTTGTAATTTGGTCTGCGTCTCCTTATTTAGTGCCTCTGGCCACCATGCTAGAGCTTCATAAGTCTTTATGCTAAGGGTCTTACCGTTGTGCTGTACAACCAGTATGCCATTTTGAAGTATATTCCCCAATTTTTACTGCCTTTTTCTCGTTCCATCTTCCTATAATATTTAGGGTACTTTACATTTGATTTGACAGAGTGTCTTCAAATTTCCCTTTTTTGATTGTTTCCATCTGCGTAACCTATGGTATGGTATCGTAACTCATTGAGTTCTTCGATTAGATCATGATTACTAGCAGCCAGAGAAGTGGCAATAGTACCCCTTCTTGGTGGCACCTAGTATAGGTATTTGTATAGTCTGATGACCAAGTTCAGTGCTTATTATCTGATATCTCAGCATTGCTAATTTCCAATTTGTAGTTGGGAGGTCTATGCCTTTCCTCTATACAGCCGTCTCAATAGCTTTGTACGAGGTATTGTCAAAGGCTCCCTATATATCCATGAAGTAGCAGAGTGCTATTTTCCTATCTTCGAATGATTTGTGAACATGCTCTACCAATTTGTTTGGGGCCATCTCCGTGGCTTTAATGTTTTAGTATGCATGCTGCTGATCATGAAGGGTAATTTTTACACGATAATTGTCCTTAATTTCTTGGCCTATAATTTTCACCATTGTTTTCTGGACAAAAGAAGTTAGGCTTATGGGTCCTACTGCCTTTGCCGAATCTGTGGTGGAACTTCCTCCTTTCGGTATGTACACAACCCCTTGTGTGTCTACATATCTTTGGGATATGTGCTAGTTCATAGCTGAGCCCTGAAAATGTTTACCAGTATTGGTAACAGGGATTCCAGTCCCTGTTGCAATAACATAGGGAAAATATTGTCCCCTCCTGGTGATTTGTAGGTGTTAAATGTGCTTATTGCCCATTTAACTTTGTTGGGAGTAATATTTTACCTGAAAGACTCCTAGCCTTTTTGAACAGTTGGCAGTTTCTGCTCAGTTCTTTCCAGGTCTCCTCTTTGTCATCCACATGCTCTGCGTCCTTGGGAAGTGGACCGCAATCATTTCTTCCTGGGTGCTTCTCTCGTCCTGGGTTTTACTCCCATCTGCCTCTAGAATAAAGCCCTTACTTGTTTGATTTAGGCAAGTGTTTTTTAACTCTTGTTTTAATTTCTCTGCCGCTTTGCTCTATATATTTAATATCATAATCATTACAATTAAGTTGGCTTTTTGACAAGTTATCAATGTTTTTTTAGGTTTTGAAAGGATGTTTCTAAGAGAACAAGTACCTCTAGAAGCTACTCAAATACCTTCTCATCTAAGAATTTTACCTACTTTTTTGATTAGGTCACTAATATATGGCAAGCAACAGAAACCTTGAACCGTATTTTCATTAAATCAAATCCAACCTATTCATGGTCTATCTGAGATTGCATATTGAAATAGCCATGGTTGGATAAAAAAATATTGCCAAATCTTTGAAGTAATGGCTGAAGTTTAATTAGTGAGTTCTAATTAGTGCTTAGTAGATAAGTGTAATAACAGTTTTTTTCCCCAATTTTGTATTGTATCGTTTAATTAGACAACTCGACAGACAGGTTATAATATTATAAATTAAGTTATCATTTTATTTAAAAAAATCTACTTTTTATAAAATTATATTTTGTTGTATTACATATTGATGTAAATAAAAGCATTGTTCATTCATTCAGTCATTTATTTTTCAATATTCATACTTCTGAGCCATAAATTAATTCACATGTACTGTGGTTTAGTAGGCTGAACAAGCATCATGATGTAATTCGATCACTACTGATAATTTCAGCCTAATGATTTTCGCTGGGTTGGTCTGACAGGGCATTAGGGGGTGCGTTAGGGCATTTCATCATCGTCATTGTTGGGTTTAACACAAACCATTATTAAAAACTGAAGAAGGAATGAAGTATAAATGCATCCGATAGACCAAAATAGCTAGTATAGGCAGTCAAAAATAATCAAAATGACTTATGACAAAAAAATCAAAATTACTATATCCCTTGTCGTTTTATTTTATTTTATTTTTTCTAATTGTATATCACCTGATCTTTATACTGATTGCTTCTCTATTATTGCAGCTAATCCAAACAGGGCACAATCAGTCCCAATTAAGTTGAAACTAACAAGTTTCTACTGTACAGATTGTTATATTCTTACTGCTCCTAATTAAACCTTTATTAATTTTCTTTGGTTTATTTTAGGTGATATTATAATCAAGGAAGGAACGATAGGCACAAAAATGTATTTTATACAAGAAGGAATTGTTGATATTGTCATGGCGAATGGAGAGGTGGCAACAAGTCTTAGTGATGGCTCTTATTTTGGTGAAATTTGTCTTCTAACAAATGCAAGAAGAGTCGCAAGTGTTCGTGCTGAAACGTACTGCAACCTTTTCTCCCTCTCAGTAGAACACTTCAATGCAGTTCTCGACCAATATCCACTCATGAGACGAACGATGGAGAGTGTAGCAGCTGAAAGGTATCGTATAAATCGTGAGCGACAACGGGCACGAGAACATAATACACCTCCAGTTGCAGTAGATAATAATATTGAAGAGCATCGACTTTAGCATGAATTTTATTTTATATTTTCAATTATCAAATTTTACCAATGAACTCTGCTTTATTATTACATTTTTAATTTATTTAAATTACTTACATTTTTATTTTACTTTGGCTAAGATTTTTATAATTTTAATGTCTATGTTTAATTCATGCATGTACCTATTTAGAAATAGTTTGTTTTATTTGTTTATTTTTCTTATTGCTGTTCTTATTTTATTTTAATACGTGTATTTTAATTTTTTAATGTTATATTACCTATTTTATTACTTATTTTTTATGTTATCACTTGCTTAAACAATGTTATTGTAATAGTTGATTCCTGTAAGCAAAGCAATGACATAGATATGAAATCATACTCAGCATTTTAGCACTTTTTAATTGTTTTTATTTATTTAGTTTTTTACATTTATTAACTTGTCTAGTACATTATTTTATCAGATTTATATTTGCATGATTTAGTGTGTAGCATGATAATTTGATTTAACTTTAGTTTTTTATGTGTTCAAGCAGAGTAAATTATTAACTCTGCCTCTATTTGTAATTATTTTAACGTTTTTAACTAAATGCTATGTTATCTAAAGTAGACCTAATTAACTAATTCAATGCATGTAAATATGAATTTTGTACATTTTTTTTAGTTTTGTTTATTCTTTTGTAAAAAGTATAGGAATTTATTTTATTGTAAAGTGTTATTATAGTTAAACTACTTTATTAAATATGCCAATATACACAGGAAAACCTAATTGTCATAATTTATATAAGTATTTTTTTTTTTTTTACAAAATGTTAAATCTTGTCACACAAGTGAATCTGTGTGAAAGTATACGCATACGTGTGCTTATGTGCATGTGAGTGTTAGTTCTTTAATTGGTTTATTTCGTTTTAAATTTAAATATTTAAATAAAAGTACCATTTAAATTATCTGCAGGTCAAACAGTGCCAAAAATAAATATGCAATATTTAATTTTTAAAAAATATTGAAATATTCCTTTAATAAAACTTTATTGATTTAAAGTTTTATATTCATGAACACTAAAATTGAAAAAATTGTATTTACAAAGATAGTTTTACAAAACTCAACTTATCAAACACAATGGAAATTTCAAAAGCTAATCTTTTTGGCCCATAAATATAAAAATTTACTTGATGGTGCAAGGCTGTAATTCTATTAACACCTCTTAAAAAAATTGGTGATGATTCAACAACTTTAAAAAATTAACATTAGGATGATTTGACATTTTAAGTATTTTTTCATGATATTTTTACATATATTCTAAATAATTCTAATAAAAAAATTAAAATGACCAATTAAATTATTTTTGATTAAACCCTAATATCATCCTTCTTAATGTCTTTTAAAAAATTTAAAATGGTTTTTATTGTTAAAATTGCAAAATGTTTTCTATTTTTAAAATATAGAAATAATATTATTACAAGGAAGTGTCATGTCAAAACATTTTAACTTATCCTCATTCCTGCTACTTACAGTCTTTAAAAATCTAACGTATTTTAATTTATTTAACATTACATATTGGAAAATATGACGAATAAATGATTTCCAATATCAATTTCTTTAGTTATTTGTTAACCAAAGGTTAGAAAAAAGGAGTTAGCATGTACATAAAACTCGTGCTTCTTACTCTCCTATTTTCTCCATTTCACAAAAACCTTGAATCATGGATATGTAACCTATTCTTAACCTTAGCCAACCTAACTCATTCAAGGATTATCCCACCTCTTATCTAACACAATCAAACCATGTTCCTAACCTGTCTGTAACATAACATAATCAATCCCATCCCTTATCCTACCTAAATTTAGCTGTCTTTAATTTTAATTCTATCCTGTTTTATCTAATGTAATTAAACCCACCCCTAACAATAAACCTGGCTCATTTCTAACTTAACCTGAAATAACCCGGCCCCACCCTTAACTCTTACCCATCGCTAACCTAACATAACCAATCCAATATCTAGCCCTAAACCTAACCCCTTCTTTAACTTTGACTAACCAAACCCATTCCTAGCTTTACTTTACCCAAACCCTACCTAAATTATCTCTTCCCTAACATAATCTATTCTAACCTAACCAAACCTGTCCCTAACCCTACTTAAGCATAACCTTACCTAAACTAACCAACCTAAATAATCGTGACCATATCCCTTTTTTGCCCAACCTCTATTCAAACTAACCATCCCTAATTTAATAAAACCTGTCCTTAACTATAACCCAACCCATGCACACTCTCTAGTAACAAGAACTCGATTACAAAACATAAAACTAATTTGTGTGTCCAATCCAAAAATATATCAATCTCAAAATATTATCAATAATAATTTTCTAGAAAACGACTTAAATATCATTAGTATAAAAAAATAGTTTTAACTCATTACTTTAAAATAATTTTAAACCTGAATATTTGTTTATATTAATAATTGCTTATTTGTATGCTATACTATTCACAATCGCTCCATGATAATGTTTAGTATGTAATGAACCTCAACATAAATTTGGAAAAGGGCTTAATTATTTTTCTTCAAACTTTACTCCATAACTTCAAAATAGTGAACTGAAATCAAAATAATTATCTTTATTTTATTTTTCATATATTTTAATGTATTGATTAGTTTTTTTATACACCCCATTACAAGGTAATTATTTTCTATATTGAATATACATGGTCATATTTATATTTTATTTCATATTTGTTCATTATAGATTAAAAGAAAAAAGTCCCCTGCTTGAGAGTTCGTGATTGAACAGTTATTTTAAACTTTTAATTGATAAATATTTCTAGTATAACTGGTATCACCCAGCTTTAACAAATACTTTTTTTTTAAACTTCAATCATTTATGCAATTTACTTACATTAAGTTAATTTAAAATCCATTTAAGTGTGAAAAATACAACATTGTTTTTAAATTAATAATTATGGGCATATACATTAAATACTATTATTATTGACAGATTAATGTTATATGGGTACATTTAGATATTTGCCATTTCAGACAAACTTTTTACAAACAATATACAAACTTGTATGAACAAAAATAAAATTATTTTAAAATTGTAATATGAATAAGTGAAGTTCCACTGTTAACCTGAGTACTACCTGAAAGAAAGGATCCTTTCGACCAAAGAATCAGGGTTTCTCTACTTATTTTTAAAAGTGAATTCAAGTTCACAAGTAGATTTAGAACAAATTGAAATAGTATGTTTTGGATATTAAATATTTTTATAACTGATACAGTTTTTTTTTTCTGTTTGAAATGTTTTTATTGTATATTAATGATTTTCTTTCAAAATTCACATACTAAGAAACAAGTACTTGGCAGGTTAATTTAGACAATAAAATTAATGATTTAATGTGAAATAATTGATAAAACAGGGGGAAACTTGTGTATTAGTAGGCAACTGATCAAATTGAAAAAAATATTAAAGTGAGAAGAAGCATATCAAAACTATCCAGTTTTGGATAAATATAAAATAAAAACAAATCACGTTAGTTTGTAGCAAGAATTTAAACACATATAAAACCAATAGTTATCACTTATAATAATTATTATATATTGATGTATGCTTTGTGGCATGTATGGCAAAGGTGAGTTTCTTCATCTTTGCTAATCGTACTAGATCCAACACCAGCCAGAAAATTAATTGTACACAGTCAATAGACTGATAACAATAAACAGTCAAATTATCCCATGGAAGATGAATATACAAATCATACATTATTTCAAGAATGAGAAATCCTGTTTACTACAGATCAATCATTCTGATAATAACCTAATGACAAATCATAATATTTTTGTTTAAATTGATTTGAATTTGCAAATATAAAGTAATTGTAAAAGTAAACATTAATTCCTGTCATACCTGAGAAGGACCTGATATTCAACTACCAATGGGCTGTATTGGTAGAGGGGGTCAGAACAACTTTAAAATACTTTTTTTCAAATTATTATCAATTAAATTGCCATGGCTACACAGGGATTCAAACTTACAACTGTTAATAGGGGAAATAACAAGTCAGCCACTCTAACCCAATGGCACTGGCAATCCCCAAAATTTTTGTTTTAAAATTAGATAATACATTTTACAAAAATATTAGTAATAGTTTATTTATGTATTTAATTTTCTCAACCTAGTAAGTTAATTAAACAAAATTTTCCTCTTAAAGTCACTTCACAAGGCATTAAAACATTTCAAACAAAAATACAGTTGTAATTTTGTCGTTACCGATCATTCTCACGGGATGTGTTGGATGCATTTCGGCATTTGGTTATCTAAAGTGTGTCTGTGATGATGTGAGGATAGGCATATCAAAATGTGTGATATACAGCAACTGGCTGTTCAATAATTCGTTGAAGTAGTTAGGAGCGGTCTGGAATAATTATTTTAGATAAACACCTTTTTCATTTTTTACCGATGTTTGTTAATTTTTCAAATAAACATATATTTTGTAATTAACCCCGGCCCTGAAGATGACCCGATTTGAGGTTGAAACAGTGGCAAAAAAATGAACAACAAGGTGTTTATCTAAAATATTTTATTCCTGACTGCTCCTCACTATTTCAACATATCATATCAAAATGTTCGGAAATGAAATTACAGGTTCTTCACCTAGCAGACCACATGAAGAAAACTTTAAAAAAAGTTCCCGTAATATAGTAATATATGAGTTAAAAGAAAAAATATTTTGTTAATACACCATTTAAGATTGCAATTTTGAGTCTGATTCATTAAATTGTCAATTTTATTTTTACAGGTTAAACAAAATTGGTAAAAATCCTAACCTTGTTTCGCATCATGAAGAGGAAGAAGAAGAAGAAATGGGAAGTGAGAGTAAAACAATAAATGCAGTCGTGAATGCATTGTCTGAACAAGCAGAACATGCAAATACATCAGTCGAATCTGTCGGCAATAGGTCACTAATCAGTGAACTTGGAAGAAGCCTTCATATTTTAACAGCAAGCCTCCCACGTCCCAAATCCGAGACCAACTTTGCTGCTATTCATGAGCTTCAAATGAGCACCAGACCAACTTTCCATAAATCAGACACATTTAATAAGGACGAATCAAACAATACATACCAGTAACAGGAAATAACTAACACATATTTCATAAAACCATTTCACACAATACCTGCTTTTAAGTACCTACTCAAAATGAATTAATTTGTTTATTAGATTTTGGCTGAGACTAATAATACAACACTTTATAAAAAATTTTTTTTTACAAATGAAATATTATTGACTTAATATGTTTAATTTAACAATAAATTACATTAAAATGTATAAATATGTTGTTTATAAATGTATAAACAATACTTTTATGAGTGTTATATGTTTGATTGTTAATCTATTTGACTACCAATGATGCTGAAACACTTTCAACTTTTCAAGTTCAAAAGTTGACAGTTTTTTTTGCAAAATGTTGTGTACAAAAATAAATTGTTATAGTTAAATAATTTATATTTCGTTGATTGAAGAATGTTTTAATTGTGTTATATCACAATGAAATAAATGATAAAGCTGTGATTTTAAATTTAATTGTAATTTTGTTACTTGGTTTAGCATTCATAAGCAGACCATGTATAAATTGTACTTGGCAATTTACAATGTGACTTGTTACTTACTTTTAGGTTTAAGAGTTATTTGTGTACATGCTAAAATATTTTTCATGTTAAAATGAACTTTTCTGCTTTATGAAATGTTTCTTTTTCATACTTAATTTAATAGTTACATGGTTTATACACACTAAAAACAAAAATTAATTTGCCTATGCCAAAATAATATTTCTATAGATTGAAAAGTATTCTAATAAATTCTGTCCTATTTTATATAAAGAATATTTTGTCGGATTTAACAGAATTTAATATAATAACATCAATTAATAAACCAAATCTTTTATAAGTGCATCACAAAATGGTGCAATGTAAATATTAATTATTATAGAGTGAAGATCTTAAAATGTAAATATATTTTGAACAAGATGAAAAGAGTTCGTACTTAAAACATCCAGGACTTAATTGTTCAAGAGAACTGGCAATGATGGAATGGGTAAGGGATCTTTTTCTGTCCATCGTGATATAAATCACTGTAAATAATATTCTTAATTTCATTAGGAAAGACTTTATAATTAATTAAATAAATCAGCATACACACACATTCATATTTATGTAATATGTATATATTTGTGTGTGTATGTATACAAAACATACAGTATTGTAAAAACGTTAAATACTCCACATCAATTAGATTAAGTCAGCTAGAAAATGCAATATCTTTGTAGTATATGAAGAGTAAGATTATAGCTTTAAACTATTAGGGTGCTCAATTATAACAGCTGCATTTTACACTAACTTCCGACCTTGTTTTTTATGTTTGATTTTTATTTATACTAAGTTACGAACGAAAAGTAACAGGATAATGTCTAACATTGAACTAATTTATGAAACTATTATTATACTAATCCAATAGGCCTAATAATTTCATATAAAGTATGCTTTGTGGTTTTAGTTTCAATGTTCAATATCTACAAATTATTTTATTTTTAAAGGATATGTTGTATACTTAATAGTTTATTTCCCTAGTTATTTAGTACAGATAAGTAAATAATTTGTCACAGTGTAATATTTGAAGTTGATTTTTAAAACAATTTGTTTAGAAGGTTTACCCATTATGATTATTTAAGTTTCTTTTCTTCCTCATATAAAAATGACATAAACCTTGTTTGGTACCTCAAAAATTGGATGGAAATTATGTGCCTTTGCATTAAACACAATTAACATTAAAATACAAATAATGTAAAAGAGCTGAACCATTTTTGGATTGATACCAAACAAGCTATGCTGATAAATAAAATTTTTATTTATATTTTACATTTATTCATTCTGTACATAACAAATGTGTTAATACTATACCTAAAATATAGTGATATATTGGTTAAAGTGTCATTTAGTGAATGAAATTAGCTTTACCGAAAAAAATATAATTAAAAAAAAACATAAGTATATATAACATATAAACGTAGAAAAGCATTTGAAGTAAACACTAGCTTCATGGACTGTCCATATCACAATTTTGGTATTTAAAGCATTTATTAGTTGAGAAAAGAATTTCAAAAAAATCTTATTTCACATATTATTATACTAGAAGATAGGGTTTATTTTTTGTTTTGTCAATTATAGATGCTAAAAAAAGCAAAATGATGCAAAAAAAAAGGGGTTTTATAAATAATATGTTCTAGATAATTTTAGCTTTGACAGAATTATAAGATTAGTTTCTTATTGATAATGTCTAATCAATTTTCAATGATTTCAACAATATATTACTATTTAAATTGAAAACATAATTTTTAAATATACCAAAAGTGCTCGTTGCTGTTATATATTGCTGGTTAAATCACTATATTGTAGGTGCAAGAAGGACTGCTTTATTATAGCTCTTATGACTAAGTGAAAAAAGAATTTTAAAAGGAGTGGGCGCTGTGCTGACGCTCTGTGATCTGTAATTCGATAGATTGTTGATGAAATGACTGTTAATGTGGATTATAAAAACAAATTTTTAACAAATGAACCAACAGTTTAAAAATTAAAATATTGATTGTATCACAAAAAAAATAAAAAATCGTGTCCAAATTTATATAACTAGTGATAATGTCATTTGTTATTCACACTGTTTCTTTTCTTTCTTTTTTACAAATGTAAATGGCCTAAAAATAATAGATTTTTATTTAATTTCTTTATTTCACCTCACATGTGAATTTTCAATTTTAACTAGGGCTGTTATTATTTTCTCAAACTACTTTTATCAGCATCTATCGAAATTTCAAAAAACTACAAATTAGTTGTTACAAAAGACTGTCAACAGTTTTGTTATTATACATGGGGAAATTCAGAGATTGTAGGCATTCAGTTTAAGATTTTTCTTTCCTGAAATCTCTTAGATACTGTAGAAATTTAAAAGAAAAAAATATTATTTTGTTTGAACGACGTACAGTGTGCTTGGTTTGTCTCAAGGATTGTACTGGGGCAACACATGTATTGTAAATACATTTTGCAAGGAAATTGTAAAAAAAATGTGTAATTGGTCTTTCCTTGTCCCCATGTCAATGTTGTAAATAAGATAAGAATTTATGATTTGGCATATGTATTATAGAGAAATCATACATGAAAGTTGTTTGTATTAATACGAGCAAAATATATTTATTGGGTAATATGTTGTTTATAATCTCCCTATAAATAGTTTGAATAATATACTGGTGTATTGTGGTGTGTGCAAGTAATATATTAGCGTGAATGGGATCCCCAATTACCTGAGGAATATCGAGTACTCTGGGCCTGGGGTAGTGTGAATGCTAACCAGACTACAATGTTTTTATCTTGTTTTTTTTGTATTTGGGATATTTTACAATTGATGAGGCCCTGAGGTACAGAGAGGCTAGCAATAGGATAAAGAAAAGAGAGTTGGTTACCATTTTATCATAAAACATCTTAACTATCATAAGATAAGAAAAGAAAAGGTAAGAAACAGAGGGCTGGCAATGACCAATGTAGTTTGCTGCCCTTTTGCAGTTTTGACCTACCAATTTCCATGGCCAATCTGGAATTTTCAAATTTTTACACTTTTCTCCAAACCACTATATCATATTGAAATGAATGATTTTTCATTTTGCAGTTTTGACCTACCAATTTCCATGGCCAATCTGGAATTTTCAAATTTTTACACTTTTCTCCAAACCACTATATCATATTGAAATGAATGATTTTTCATTTTGTGGAGAAATAATAGGAAAATAGCGAAGCTAGGTATGTTTAAAAAAAATAAAATAAAATAAAGGAGTGGTAAAATAAATTGTTTTTTTGAAATTTTGGTTGTTGCCAAAAATAAAAGATTAACTATTTTTGAAACCTTATCTACAAGTGCATAGCATTGTAAGGTAAAACAAGTTGGTTGTTGTAATACACCAAATAAATTTTGAGAAAATGGTAACCCAATAAATGACTTGAAATTTTTGCTGAAATTCGCTGCTCTCTTTTATGAGAGTTGTGGCTTAGTGAAGTTTATTTCCACCTGGGTAAACCACTGCATCCTGCTTTTGCTCTACAGTTTAGAAAATATTTTTTTACTGGCTACATGGGAGAAGATTTATCTTAAAAATTCCTACACAAATGTGGATGAAGATAATTTTTCCTTGATGGAATGTTATAAATAATTAGCTGAATGTTTTACTTAATAAATTGTACCTTTCTAATAAACTGCAGTAGTAACGAGCAAAGATATATGTGGATAATAAGGTTATCATTTAAAACATGCTTCTTGATCTCTTTCTATTATGTTGTTTGGCTCATTTATTTGGTGGCAGTTTTATTAGTGAACTTGATTCCTAAAGGAACCTCAAATAAGGTGGAAGCTCAACATTTTTATTTTAAGATTTTTCCCAAAGTTCAATTACCAGAAGATAGAAAAGCCGTTAGAAAAGGAAAACTAGAAATTAAAAGGGTAAAACAGAAATATTGTTGCTTGAACACAAGTTTATGAAAATATCAGAACACAAATTCCAGGAATAAATAGAAACCTAATTCTAATGTCAATATTTACTAAATATTTTTAGCAAAAAAAAACAAAACAGAAAACTAAAACAAAAAAACGAATTCTTTGCGTAAAAATAGGTATTTATAAATAAATATTGACCTTTACAAATAAATAATTAGCGGACAAAAATATTTTTGAATCAAGGAAAATTAACTTTGCACTTTAAAGTTGTATTAAATTCCTAATTGTCATTTTCATATTAACTACCCAATACTATTTGCATTAATTGCATTATCGGAGATCAGGTCATGTGAGACATCCTATTAAAATATTAAAAAAATATTTCTGCATGTTGGTTCTTAACCAACAAACATGTTGGTTATTAACCAACAATTGTTGCTTATCTTAAAATATTTTCGTGAATGAGAAAATGTCATCTAGTTTAAGTAAAAAAAAGTGTTTTCTCTTACAACAATATGGTGCAAATTGTGATCAATTCCCCTCCCGTCGAACAATATGCCAACCCTTTTGAAGATTTTCAGCTTACGTCCATCAGGGTATGATGGGGTGTGAAAGTACAACTCGCTTTCAGAGTAGCTTAAGCCTATACTTATAGTTTGAGAGTAAAGCCTGTTTCCCGAAGGGTAATTTATTGCTGGGCCCTGTTTCTCGTTGGTTTTCATAGTTCCACGATGAAAATAAGACCATATTTGTGGCT